CCAATCCAGTCCAGCAGGATGGGCATGCTCTGGGTCCCATTGGCATGCCTTTTCTGTTGTAGCACCCACCCTATGGAGCATTCTCCCTCCAAAGATTAGGATGGCCACGACCCTACTAGCCTTTCACAAGGCACTGAAGACCTGGTTCTGTGTCCAGCCCTGGGCCTCTGTGAGTGTGAAAGGTCCCATCTCCTGGTTGTGCTAACAACCAGCAATAGTGATATCTTCCTTGGCTGCTCTGTATTTTAATTTTTGTATTTCTGATGAGAATTTGTTTTTCATATGCTGAGATGGGCAGCCATACAAATTGGATGAATGAATGAATGAATGAATGAATAATCCACATTTATACATCGTTCAAAAGAGATAGCAAAAAAACTAGGAAGGAAACAAAAAGGCTAGAACATATCTCTTCTAGCAGCCAACATTGAGATAAGCAGGGATCAACACTAGACAATCAGGCAGAAAACAATAATCAAGGAGCCACCAAGGAGGAAGCCACACTCCCACCAAAACTGGCAGGGCAAGCTACTATATATAAAGAGGCAGCAAACCCCACACTCATTCACACTGATGTTACCTAGTTAGGCAATGAAACATCTGCAAGCAAACAACCGAGCTCAGAGAGCACCAAGAACTCCATGGAATAGGAATGTTCAGCTTAAAGAAGAGAAGGCTAATGGGAGACACGATAGCAGTCTTCCAGTACTTCAAGTTCTTGTCATGGGAAATAGGTTATGGATTTATTTTCTGTAATGGGCAAAACTGTAATAAGACAAAAACCAATGATTGGAAGCTTTATAGAAGGGGATCCAAACTCAAAATAAAGAGGAATTTCCTGACTGAGAGCAATTAAGCAGTGGACCAGTCTATTTCCTGGAATGATAGGAACTCCATCATTGGAGGCTTTTAAGCAAAGGTTGGGCGGCCAACTGCCTATGATAGTATGAGGATCCTGCTCTGGGCAGGGAGTTGGACTAGACCTCCAAAGTATCTTCCAACCCTATGATTTTATTAAATGAAATTACAACACCCATTGAACTAAAAATAGCTAGGTCAATTGGCTCACACTGTTTCCCAAATACACTAAAAGACAGTCCTAGCAGGAATGAAGCTCAAGCTCAGATACTTTGGTCACCTAATGTGAAGAGAGGA